AGCGTCTGGCTGGTAAGTCTGTTGTGAAGGAAGGGGTCGGGGGAGGACAAATTGAGACCCCTGCAGTGAAGGAAGGAGTGGGGCTGGGGCTGTGGTTGCACAGCTGGGGTGGAGTGGAGTGAGGTGCAGGCCAGAGCGGCTCATCCGGGGGGCGCCGGGAGGGGGTGGTGTGTACCCCCGGATCTGCACGTGGGGCAAGGGCAGGCTGCTGCTGCGGGCTGGGGCCAGGGCAGCGCCAGGCTCTTCCCGGTGCGGGGCTGGGCTGGGTGGCGGTGATGCTGGGAAGTGGGGCCAGGGGGCTACAGTGAATTCTGGCGTGGCTGCAGCCTGCCCCCATAGCCCCTCCTCCCAGTGCCACCACTGCCTGCCCTGAGCACAGCCTGGTCCAGCCCCCTGTGGGGAAGAGTTCAGCACAGCCTCAGCAGCCCACCTTCACCCTCCACATAGATCCAGAGGCAAATGCCCCCCCCATGCTCTCCCGGGTGCGTGTTGCGGTGGGAAACACACCCTCCCCGCACCCCCCAGATGAGCCACTTGCAGCTCCGTCCCCTGCGCCACCCCAGCTGAGCAATGCCTGTCCCTGCCCCAGCCTCACTCCCTCCCTCACCACTAGGGCCTTGATCTGAGCCCCCACAAACCCTTCTTTTACAAGAGACTTAGCAGCCAGACCTGGCTGTTCTCCACACTGCTAGGCTGTGCTCCTGGCCACCTGTGTGCTGCACTGCGGCTGTGCACATGCACAGGACATGTATCGATGACATTAATCGGCCATGTTAGCCAAAAAAACCCGAGTGTCAATACTGTCAATTTTCCTTCTATTGGTGCCGATGTGATATGTGACCAATGTACCTGTGCACCTCTGGCAGTGACAAACCTGATGATGCATGCTTTGGCCACACCCCTGCCCAGAGGTTCCACATCAGCTCTTCACCCATTGGTGAGTCCACCCTGTATATTAGGCCCTCTTACTGCCCTTATCCGGTTCAGGTATGTAACACAGATGATGTGCATTTAAGAAACTGGTCTTTGCAGAACCTCCCATTTTTATGGTATCATTCAATCCTGATGTATTTAATGCCTTATTAACCTCCCTAGGAAGAAAATTCCCCTCCCTAACCTAACCTGTGCTTCTGAGAGGAAAAAAAATGTCAAGATGCATCAAAACTGGCTTTTTTACATAGGCAGTCTTGTCATGAGCCAGAATGGTATTTTACAGTGGTTGCCATTAAAAAGGGAAAACTTACTTCCATTTTATATCTGATTCTTTATATTTTATTGCAGGATTCTCACACCTGGGTCTTAGATTCACAGTACAAACTGGTGAAATTCCCCTAACTTCCCCAGATTTGGGGTCCTTAAAGACAATGGTGGCAGGAAGATGTAAAAGCTACATTGTACTGGTGGTCATATGCTGCTTTACCAGGAAAGATTCATCAAACTATATAAACCAATCACCAAAACAAGATGGTTGAAAAAAAGTGGCCCCTCCAAAAGAGATTAATAAATATAAAAAATAAATCCTAATGTGGAGAAGGCTTTGAGAACAAGCAAAGATAACTGGGTTGGTGGGGATTAGAAAGAGAAAAATTTGGCAAGATGTCATCTTCAGAGAAACTGAAGTACACAGCAGTTCTCTTTTTTTCCTCAAAGATGCTATTTGTGCAGGATTCTAACTCCTGAGAATTAAAAAGCTCAGGAGGATGCCCCCAAAAGAAAGAGACCATCATAAAACTATTGCAAACAGACAGGAAGAATCAAGCTCATGCTCATGTTTTTTTAAAGGAAAACATAATGGATGATTGCTTGTAGGATGTATAAAAACAAAATGAAACAAGTTTCATAGATCTGACCCAAACTAAGAACACTCTAGGTCCTCAAAAATACCTTGGACTTCTGTTCTTTAAAAACAGTTCAACAGGACAAACAAATTTGCCCCCTACGTAGTAAACATATAGAGGACCCATGTGACTTCCTTGTACAGTACTATAAATGAAATCCTATGAGTCAGGCAGCTGAGACTGGAAAGGACAGAAAAACTGGGGCTGACAGGCTTAGTTAACTAGAAATACAAGGGCACCTTTTGAGGGCATCTCAGATAAGTTATTCTTATAAGTTATTCTCAGATAAGCACCTTATTCTTATAAAATTTGTAAAGTGTGATAAATCATCATAGCCTTAAAACTAGTTCACTAGGAAAATGATCTTCATTGAGAGAAGCCTGCCCTTATCAGTACTGGGTGGCTTAGAAAGGAGCTTTCATTAGCTGTACTAAGACTACATCATTATTCTTAACACTGGTGTTCTTCAATTATAGGTTTCAAAGACCAAAGGTCCATCCACCAAGTACCACATAAAAGGTTAGAGACTCCATCGTTTAGTTCTCAGCCTGAACATAACAAAATGGACCAAGGTGGATTCAATTTTTATATCAGACTCATATAAGAGAAAGTGGTAGCCAATTAATTTATGCATATCTTCTGTCAGTCTCCTCCCACAAGGCTAAAAGCAGAAAAACTTAAGCCACGAACTCAAAAACAGTGTTTCTACTTAGCTTCTGTCAGCAGACAATATAAAAAATGCTACACTTCCAGATTGGGATGGATTTAGGTGTCATGGCTCAGAGTAACTAGATCCTACCTTGTCCTGATGGGAACAACTTCGGCAATCTTGAAAAGATCTACAAACCAAAATTGACCAAGTCATTATGAACCTTTTAGAATCAATGATAATCTCATCTGAATTTTGCTAGGGTTATTGAAAGACATACAGAAACCTACTTCCACATAGGAAGAAAAAACCCCTCTCTTTGTAATATGGTTTTCACAACCCCTTGATCAGAAAATTGAGCCAGTTCTTGTTTGCATGAATTATAGAGAACTACATCTACAGTGCTGTATCATCAAAAGATCTGATTCATCAGTATAGGACACAAGAGGCTTCTTATCATAGATTTCCCAAGGTAGTTGACATAGTCTACTCCAGGGATGAACAAGATAGAGTCCACAGAGCTCTCCACAGGTCTGGTAACTTGGCAGCATGGCAAGTCGTGGCAGCATTAATTGCCACAGCTAATGGAGCTGCAACAATTAATGCAGCTGATGCTTATCTTGCCACAACATTTCTAGACTGTGGGGAGTTCTGTGAGCTGAATCCAGGGGTGGAGCTGTGTCATCTGGTCCATAGGGCCAGATATTTGGCAGTGGGAGGAGCAGCACCTGCAGCAAGTCTGGGAATCACAGAAATTAAAACTGTTACTGCCAAATTCCAGCCCCATGGTTCATATGACATGCTCTAGATCCAGCCTGTAGACTGGCTCAGGGACTCCACTGGCGTATACCATCAGCAGCTGGGTGTCCTGAAGAAAGAGATTTATTTTCTGCTTTCATGTCTGTTTTATATTAAAAAAAACAGTGGCCTGATTCACTGTTTAAATCAGAATAATCTTCTGGAGTATCAAATCTCTGAAGATGATCACCAAGTTCAAGACCACTCTTCTGAGCATGGGTGCGCAGTTAATACTTCTCATCCAGAGATAGAAGCCCTCTGCAGAGAATATCCACGGTCACTTATTCATGGATTAGGAATCCATGAATGGATTCCTAATCACTGCAGTAAGACTAAATCCCAGTGCAATGAGTTGGGGCTTTGAGAACTCTATAGCAGAGATACACTGAAGCCAAGTACAGAAGGATTCTGTGCCAAACACAAAGAATGGGATTAGGGAACTGAGGTTCCAGGAAACTACTCCCTATTCTTGCTTATTGGCCAAGTATCAGCTGAAGGGTTGCAGGGCTGCCGAAGTAAAAATCAAACAAAAATTACTGGATGACAGGAGAAAGAAATACAGAAAGACTACTTGAAGGAGAATCACTGAGGGAGCTGTGGAGCTGAGGCTTCAATTGAATAGTTATGTTGTTTAAGTTTTACTATCTTAGTCAAGAAAATGAGACCCCCATAGCATGAATGCTGCACAGATGACATCTTTAAAACAGGCAGCATTTAACATTTACTACAATATCTGCAACATGCAAGGTGTTATGTGCTGTTCAACCCTACACTGAGAAACAGTATCTCCCCTGATCTTAAACTAATTATCAAACTGGAGTAAATATTAACCTTTCAATGGTGACCACTGTAAAATGATAGTAAAGTGTTAAATTCACTTGCCATTCAGAAAGATCAAATACTGGAGTGAACTCAGTAATTTTACATGCTGGAAACTATGCAAAAAAGCACTGCACTCTTTAGGGAGGGAAGGCAGTTAGTTCATATAGACATTGGATTTACACTGACAGGCAGGTTAGGATTTTCAACATATTTTTATTATTGGCAAACCAGAATTAGAGCAGAGCAAAAAATGCCTCTCCTTCTAGACCTACGCATGCATGTACATGCTTGTGCACCTGTAAAGACTCAAAAGTTGTAATACTTAACAGTAAATAAAGCCTTTGTTCCAATGAGCAGACAAGATTATTTGGGGAGATTTGATATCTTTTATTAGATCAATTAAATAATTGGAAAAATTGTTCTTTGCAAGCTTTCGGGCACAAACACCCTTCTTCAGGCATTTAGAGTCTGTTGGTGAATTGTGTGCTCTCCTGGGTAGAACAGAAGCCAAAATGCAGGTCTGTGAAAATGCAAATGTGTGGCAGTGAGGATCAGAGGGGTAGAAGACAATAGGTGAGACACGGGTGGGGGGTAGAGGGGAATGTAGTGACAGCTGATCTCTGCAAGTCTGGCAAAATCCAGTACCCCGTACATTTTCCTTCCTCCCCCCCACCTGTCTCTCACCTCTCATCTTCCACTCTGATTCTCACTGCCATGCATTTGCATTTTTACAGACCTCAATTTTGGCTTGTATTCTACACAATTCACCAGCAGACTCTCTATATGCCTGGGTGTTTGTGACCAAAAGCTTGCAAAGAACATTTTTTCCAACTATTTAGTTAGTCTAATAAAAGATATCACATCTATCCAAAGAACCTTGTCTGCCTGTGTCCTTAGATCAACACAACTACAACCATCAACCCTAAAGCTTTGTTCCAATAAATAATTTTTCCTTTTTCAAGATTATAAAATGTTTCTTTTGCACTTAAATTCTCAATTATGTTTGGTAATTTTAGAATTTCTACATAGGCTATTAATGCAGGCTCCCCAAATTTCAAACTGCTCTTGGCTGTAGTCTGTTCTGAATTTCTAACTAGAAGGAACCTGGAGGAATACCTCCATACCTCCTCTACAGCACAGACTCAAGCAGGATTTCATTTTGTTTCTTTCTTCCTTTTTATTTCTTTTTTAAAAGAAAAACAACTACTTTTTAGGGTTCAAGTAATTAAAAAAACAAAGGGCTAGCATATTTTTCAATAGAACGATTTCTGAGCATAGCAATTAACAAAATCACTGTTTAACATGTGGGACCAAAAGCTGGAATTAATGCCTTGTATCATTTTGAAGCATAGTAAGCAGTGTAAAGAAACCTCATCAAAAGCCCAAATTTTGGGAGTGACATCAGCTCAACAGTGTTAACCTGAATCATTACGAAAGAGATATAGCACTGGTTTAAAAAATTCATAATGGAAGTGCATGAGAGCTTGAAAGATTCATAAAGCCAAGCTATATCATCTTCTATCACCAGAAACTGTGATAAACATGTTATACCAGGATTAAAAGGATTTATTAGACATGGGGGAAAACAACAAACCAAAGAAAAACAAAACAACCCCCCAGCCAAACAATCCAGCATACAAATATGAAATTAATTGTAAAATCCATGATTATAAATCTGAGTCTAGGTTATCAAACATATTCCATAATACATGGGAGATTCTTGAAATATGTCTATGCATATGACAGCAAAATATTTATGTTAAAAATAGGACTGAAGAAGATGTAAAACTAAAGAGAACAACAAAAGTTGTAAAATAGCTCAACTCTACTGACTGTAAATTAATCTTGTTTGGATGAAGGCAGGTGAATCACTCTCATTGTTGGGAGAATACACTTAAAAAGTTCTTCTTTGTGCAAATGACATTACTGGCAATAAATTATTCTGGATATAAAACATTTGAGGTACTGTTCAAAGGAACTGTCCATGAGAGGACAGAAGGCAGAAAGAAAATTAAAACATTGCATTAAGATTAAGCAAAGTGTTGCATCAACGATTAGAACAAAGAGGTTCTGCTTTAGGAAGCATGTCAAGGGATTTCAGATTGTCACTCTGTAGCAGTGGGGGCTCTGAAACTTCAGGGAAAGAGTTAAAAAATAAAAACCCTGAATGATCAAAAGATTAAAAGTAAAAAAAAAAGAAAGAAACTCAAGCAAATGGCTACATACATAATCTGATTTCACCAGCATACTTACGAAGGATGACGTGGGTGATAACGAATGCAAATATAAAGACTGTCAGAAAGGACAGAGATAAAATAAACATATAAAAAAATCTGTAGTTTCTTTTCCCCACACAGTTGCCTACCCAGGGACAGTGGTGATCAAACCGTTCTGAAATGAGAGGCAAAAAAAAATAAATGGAATACAATTAATAAAATACTATTTTGCTTTAAAAAAAAACCCTGACTACTACTGCTAATTTCACAACTTAATTGGTATTTGCAAACGAATCACAGAGAGATCCTTAATAAATTAGAATGTTTTAATGCAATATTACAATTAAGATACTAACACACAACTAAGACAGTCTTCTGTTAATTGCATGAATTTATGCCTATAGCATAACTGGACAAATATCTATATCTAAATATAGATATATAGATATATTACATAAAAGGGTGCCAGTTCCAATTATTAGTTTTATTCTTCAATTCATTCTTTTTTGCATTTGAAACTATAGCCCTCACATTGCTATGGTTTTTTATTAGCATATGACAGGATTACGTATTTGAGACTTCCATGGGTCCTTCACCACACCACCTTACCATAATGGAAGATAAGGTATCTTTTTCTTTTTTTGTTCCTGTTTGTGATGTTTTCTATCCCAGATCTGTTTTCCAGTTAGAACTGAAACTGGTACACTAAAGCTAAGTGCAGACAGTCAGAAAGCCCAAGGCTGAATTGATTCAGTCTTCGCAGGTTAGTCTAAACTCTGTAGACTGAACTGATAAACAAGTGAACAGACATTCCACATGCCTGCAGTGGATCAGGCCAGACGGCAGGGGGGGGCTAGAGCACACCTCCCTGCTTGGCTGGAGCAGATAGCTTGGGCCAAGACTAGCCTGCCCACCTTGCAAATGTAGTTTAGAGGGGAGGTGCAAAGGATCCTGGGATGCTGGGGGACAGAGTTAACTTGAATCTGGAGGAGATCTGGGAAAGAAATTAAATAAACCGATTTAACCTAAATCAGCTAAATCTATTACTACATCCATCCAGGTTTATCTTAAACTGGTTTCGGCCATTTTGAAAGCGGTTTACGTGCATTGAACTTCTTTTGTTACAAATCTGAACCAGTTTCTGATCCCAGCGGTTCTAGTTTTCTTTGTTTAAAAATCACAAATTCTCTGATATCCCCCCCCAACAAATTCTCTGATTAAAAAACCCAAAACCTGCATTTTTCTGCTATTAAAATGAAACACTGCTATATATATAGGTATCAATTTAACATGATGTTTTATTGATATATTTACAATTGTAAAACAATTTGGAAGCCTACTATTGCCTCAATCACTATAATAAAATAATTTCTAAACACCTATATGTTTTGGCATTTGATTTTGGGTTTTTATCATGGAAAAAATCAGAGCTTGCCTTGCCTGCTTTGTTCACCAGGACGCAAGTCCAGCTGCGGCTGTCCCCCAGCTGCTTTGTGGCGCTGAGCAGCTCTGATATGCCAGTTCCCTGCCCATGCCATTGCCACTCACTCCTAAGCCACAGGCCCCACCCCCCCAGCCCTTCCAGTGCCCCTCACTCCTGACTCACATCCCCCTGGCCCTGCTGGTGCCCCTCACTCCCAACCCACAGCCTCCTGTCCCTGCTGGTGCCCTGCACTCCTGACTCGCAGCCTCCTGGCCCTGCTAGTGCCCCACAGTGCCAATCCATAGTCCCCCCACCCAGGGCCATGCTTGATGCCAAGCCACAACCCACCCAGCCCTGCTGATGCTCCTCACTCCCAACCTGCAGCCCCCTGCCCATCCCCCAGTCCTGCCAGATGGGGCTCCCAGCTGCCCCCATCTCACCTAGGCTGGAGTGTAGGGGCTCTGACTTGGAGACAATGGAGGAGGAGAGGCCTATGGCACCCCCTGCCCGGGCCTGGGGCTCCCGCACCACATCAGTTGGCCTGGCCATGACCCTCACACCTCCCAACCCCAGGCAGCATCTCCCAGCCACCCCACCCCAGCCCCAAGCAGCTCCTTTCAGGCTGGAAGGCTGCCAGTCTGCAAGGGGAAACCAACAGTTTCCCCCAGTTTTCTCTTTAAAAGAAGAAAATCTGTGTTTTTCTCCTTCAAAGGAGAAAATCCGTGTTTTTCTGCAGCAATCTGAAAACCCGGATCCCTGCCAGGTTTACGTGCAACTTCTGTCCCTAACCTAAATCTACAAGCAAAGCAGCTGCAACAGACTGATGAAGTTACTTATAACATTTCCTTTCACATTCTTCCCCATATGTTTCTTAAGTCCTGTTTTTTTCAAACCTTTTCTTTTATTTGTGGGGGGCAATAACCTGGGGACTTTATTTTTCTTGTAAATAGCACGGTACCAGTAGATGTCTAAATGCTAAATTGCACCATTACCCTAGCCCCAACTTTTTTTCCCTCACTAAGCCAGAAATCCTTCTTGAGTATGTCCTGGAAGGATTGGATTACAAAAGAGGGAGGACAGCGGGGAGGCAGGGGGCAAGCATGTGTGGCAGCGCTGGAACTGTGTTAGAACATAAGAGATAGAGAAAAGCTAAAGTTGTTTCCCAAGGCCACCTTAATAGAACTGTATGAACTCTGGAAGTCATGCATGTCAAACCAGGTTTCCTTCTGGGAGTGTGTAACTTCAGAGTTTTAATGTGTTTTTTAATAATGACAAAAAGATTGTCAGGAAAAATCATTTTGTAACTGTTTCAGTGTGATTATGCTGATATTAATGACAACATTTTAAATTTTAATGGAATCCAAGATCATAACATAAGACAGATGCTTCTGTTTCCTCCCTGATCACTCTGATCCCTATCCAAAGCTGACTGTATCTTCTCAAGGTTTTATGACTCCACTGACGTAAGCTACCAGACTATTTGTAGTTGTATAGGAAAGGCAAGCTATAAATCTGAAGTGCTCAAATTCTGTGCTCAAAAAAAATAACCAGCCAAAAAAAAACCCCAACCCCTCCCCAAAACCCAAACAAAAACAAAACAAAATTCCATCTGTCTAAACACATCAGTTTCTTTTAACTATAACTTTACCCTAAAGACCTACATGAGGGGTCTTTCTTGAAGAATGTATTTAGTATTATCTTGATTTAAAGAAGGCTAAACAACATATGGTACACATTCCTGAGTTTACTAGATTATTAGCTTTTTCAAGGTTTTTCAAGTCAGCTGTTTGGACCGCATACTTCTGCTATAAATCTATTTCAAATTCCAGAGAGGCTATTTAAGGTAGCATTACTGACCTTTCTTGGGGATAAGACTCAGAAGTAGTGTTTTGATATTGTCCAACTACTGACAAGTATTTCAGGAGTCTCAGATGTTGGGTGGTGTTACAGTGCCACTCAGCAGTGTTTCTGAAGTGAGATAACACTCCATGGGAATAGCAGTGCTTCAAAACAATGCATTTTGCCTCACACAACTGACACATTATGCAGGCACTTGAGCAGTTAACACCACAAAGAAAAATATAATTTTGTAGTTTGGCATATAAAAGTCTGAATTCTTAAGGGCACAATCTTAAGTTTTAGATTTTTAAAAGCACTTTCTCTAAAAGACAAAAACTCCATGCACCATCTGTGAAAGATGGCTTTTGTAAATATATTTTCATTCTCTCAAATATCAACATGACGGAATCAATACCACTGAATGGCATAAAGTTCCAATTTATAGCTATGTGGTCATAACGTATCAAACCTTAAACTTTGGGCTTCATACTGTGTGTGCATGCCACACCTTAGATTTATGTATCTAGGAGCAGATAGTTGAGCAAATAAACCATGAATTCCTAGCCAAAGTGTCATCTAACATTTTTATCTCGCTTACCTATTACCTCTCCTCTTTTAATCCTATGCCATTCTTTTAAAGAAAACAAGCACTATCTTTCAGTTAAATAGCAATCCATCCATACTTACTGATGAAAAAAGAGCAAACTGGAAAACAGTGAAAATGTATACTGAAATTTTGTTGTAACTTCAAATTTGAACCAAGTTTAATAGAAAATTGAGAAGCACTGAAGTTTGCACGTAAGGGCATGGAGTAAATGAATAAAAACAAGTTGTCCCCATCCCTTCTCTTTTTGAGACAGAGATAATGGAATGTGACACTAATGTACTAAAAACACTACTAATATGGAAGGACTATTCCACCCATCAGAGGGCGAGGGCGAGAGAAGAGGGCGAGGGCATTGCTTATTCTACAGCAGGGGTGGGCAAAATATGGCCCATGGACCAAACCTGGCCTGCCAGGCAATTTCATGCACCCTGTGAACACCCACCAATGAATTGTAGCCTGCCCAGCCTTTCTGCCCATGACGGTGGGAGTGAGGCACCCATGTATACGCCCCCGCCAGCATACCCTATTGCACCTCACTCCCACCCTCATGAGCGGAAGGGCAGGGCTGCTGCTGCCAGTGCTGCAGCAGCCCTGGGGGGAACTGCTTGGCTTCCCTGGCATCCAGCTCACTCCAGGCAGCAAGTATAGAAGCAGTAGGGGTTGCGGGGGAGCTGCAGCTGGGTGAGGGCAGGAGTGTGGGGCTGGGACTGGCAGCAGCATGGAGCCTACACCCAGGGGGGTGGCAGGAGCATGGAGTTTGGCTGGGCAGGGTGTGGGTGTGAAGGAGGGTAGGAAGGTGTGGGGACCCCCCACATGGCATGTAGCCCTTGCTGTCAGCAGCAGTAGCAGGTGGGGGTGCTCATGGAGACTTGGGGTGCTCCAATATGGAGAGCAGTGGGCAGGACACCTGTCAAGGGGCAGGGCTACCCATGAGGCCCTCGACAGCTTACCAAAACTCATTAAACAGCTCTCCAGACGAAATAATTGCCTGCCTCTGCTCTACAGTGTAATGTCTAATGCCTAATAAGCATTAATGAACCACCAGTGTGTCCACATTCACTTTTGTGAGATCATACTGTTACTAGAGATTTTACGGATATCCACAGAAGCAAGAAAATGCCAGCTAGCAAGATTGCAAGCAGTCAGCTCAAGTTGACATAGCTCTTTTACCTTAGAAGACCATATCCTCTTTAAAGGTTTCCTTTGAAGCTTAGCCCCTCAGTATACCCTTTAAAGAGTAGTAAATTGTTGTCTTTCTTACTGGGATAAGGGGTCAAAGACATTCTTGCAGCATTATTTACATCAG